CCCGCCACCTTAGGTGTATGTGGCTGGCGCCTTAGCCGCTTGAGCCACAGGCGCCAAGCCCACTCTCCATTTCTAAAACTTTTTCATCATTCTAAACAGAAATTTGTATCTATGCAATAATTATCCATTTTCCTACTCCCAGTCTTCTAATTATCCCTGATCATTTGACTTAGTGTAGCGTATTCAAGGTCCATGTGTGTTGTAAGATGTATCAGAACTTCATTCCTTATTATAGCTGAATAGTATTTCATTTTGTATGTATATATCACATCTGTTTATTCATTCATCCATTGATAGACACTTGAGTTGGTGCCCCTTTTTTGAATAATACTGCTATGAGCATTAGTGTACAAGTATTTGAGCCTATTTTCAGTTCTTTTAGGTATATATACCTAGGCGTATAATTGCTGGATCCTTTAAAGTTTTGAAAGATGACCAAAGTGTTTTCTGTAGCAGCTAGACCATTTGCATTCTCACCAACAATGCCTAGGGGTTCCAGTTTCTCTGCATTCTTGCCGATACTTATTTTCCATTTTTTTTTATAACCAGCCTTGGTATGAAGTGGGATCTTGTGTTTTGATTTGCATTTCCCTGATGACTAGTGATATTAAGCATTTATTCATACACGCTTATGTACCATTTCTATATCTTCTTCATAGAAATGTTTGTTAGAATCTTTTGCCCAGTTATACTTTATATATATGTATATATATATATATGTGTATATATATATATGTTTTTGGAGATGAAGTCTCACTGTGTTGCCCAAGCTGGCTTCTGAGCTCAATTATCTTCCTTCCTCAGCCTCCTTAGTAACTGAGACTACAGGTGTAACCTCCTTAGTAACTGAGAATACAGTCACATGGCATGATGCACAGTTTTTGGCTGGTATATGGGGCCGGCGCCCTACTCCTTTGAGCCACAGGTGCCGCCTTGCCTGGCCAATTTATTAACATTTTTTTGTAGTGACAGGGTCTCTTTATTGCTTGAACTTGTGGAATCTTGTAGAGTGCCACGGTGTCATAGCTCACAGCAACCTCAAACTCTTGGGCTCAAACGGTTCTCTTGCCTTAGTCTGTACAGGCACCCGCCACACCACCCAGGTATTTTCATTTTATTACTATTTTTTTTTTTTGAAAAGAGACAGAGTTTTACTTTATCGCCCTCGGTAGAGTGCTGTGGTGTCACACAGCTCCCAGCAACCTCTAGCTCCTGGGCTTAGGCAATTCTCTTGCCTCAGCCTCCCGAGTAGCTGGACTACAGGTGCCTGCCACGAGCTATGACACCGTGGCACTCTACAAAGGGCACCCTACTCCTTGAGCCACAGGTGCTGCCCCAACTGATCACAAAAATGTAGCTTTATTTCTTGTTTTTTTTTTGAGACAGATTTTCAAGCTGACACCCTGGGTAGAGTGCCATGGCATCTCGGCTCACAGCAACCTCCAACTCAGGCTCAAGTGATCCTCTTGCCTCAGTTTTCTGTTTTTTAGTAGTGACTGGGTCTGGCTTTTGCTCAGCCTGGTCTCAAACTTGTGAGCTGAAGCTATCCACCTGCCTTGGCCTCCCAGAGTGCTAGGATTACAGGCATGAGCCACCACGTCTGTGTAGCTTTATTTCTATACTCTATTCCATTAGTTTGTATGTCTGTCTTTATGCCAGTATTACAGTGTTTTGTCACCCAGGGTGACAGCTTGAGGCTCTGTCTCAAAAAAAAGAAAAGAAAAAGAAAATTGAGACTCATAGAGAGATGGAACAAGTTGCTAGAAGCCACGCAGTAGATGACAGAACTCTTTCTGGGCTAGGTTTTTTTGTTTTGTTTTTGAGATAGTCTCACTATGTTGCCCTCGATAGAGTGCTGTGGCATCACAGCTCACAGCAACTTCAAACTCTTGGGCTTAAGCGATTCTCTTACCTCATCCTCCCAAGTAGCTGGGACTACAGGCACCTGCCACAACTCCCAGCTATTTTTTGGTTGTAGTTGTCACTGTTTGGCAGGCCCGGGCTAAATTCAAACCTACCATCTCTGGTGTACATGTCTGGCGCCCTAGCTGCTGAGCTACAGGCACCAAGCCACTGGGCTAGATTTTTTAGCTCCAACATCTGTAGGCTTTTTTGCTGTGCCATTCCAGCATCTTCTTCTTTCTCCATCATTGTCTCATTGCAGGATGATATGCACCTGGTGATCCGGAAGCAGCTCTCTAGCACCATATTCAAGTACAAACTCATTGGGATTATTGGTGCTGTCACGATGGTTGGCATGATGGCTGCAGATAGGTACTATGGGGATTCTGATGTCCGTAGCCCAAGATACATTTATCAGATTGCTGCCTTAGAAAATAAAAGTAGTCATAAAATTAGAAGTGAACAAATTTATTTTTCTACTTTTCCATATTCCTTTCTAATCTTGACTGTATACATTGTGTAATTTATGCAGAATTGTAAAAATTGTTATTATAGTCTGATGGCTAAAACTATGTGGATGGCACCTGTGCCTCAGTGAGTAGGGTGCCGGCCCCATATCCTGAGGGTGGCGGGTTTGAACCTGGCCCCTGCCAAACTGCAACCAAAAATAGCCAGGTGTTGTGGCAGGCATCTGTAGTCCCAGCTACTCAGGACGGTGAGGCAAGAGAATCGCCTAAGCCCAAGAGCTTCAGATTGCTGTGAGCTGTGACACCATGGTACTCTACCCAGGGCGACAAAGTGAGACTCTATCTCTAAAAAAATAAAATAAGTAAAATACAACTGTGGATTATCAGTGGATAAAGTTCTAGGAATCTTTCCACAAAAGGGGAACCCCGAACCTCCTAGAATGCATTTTTCTGTATCTGCTCCTGAACTAGACTAGATGATGAAGATTCCTATATCGCTATGTTTTTTCTGTCTAGAACTTCATGTTTGATACAAGTAAGATTTTCCTTGTGGATTCCCCTCTTACTCTTTCTTACTCTTTGATACCTTAATAATAACATCTAAAAAAGCATCAGATTTGGGGCTTTCGTAGATGTTGCCATTACAAATTGACATTGGAATTCAGTTCATGATTCTTAGAAATTATCTGTCAAGAATGCTTGAGACCTCAGTTCTATCCCTAGAACTAGTATTAGTAAGGAAGAGGTTGCCCAGTGTACTAATTGAGAGTTCATTTACTGAAGCTGTACCTCTTTTCTGAGCTCAAATCTTGGCTCCACCATTGCTTATTAACTGAATGACATTATTTATCCTCGGTGCCTTTGTAGTCTCATCATCTGCGAAATAAGGATAATAATAGCGTTTATCTCAGACTTACTGAGAACATAGAATGGTTAGAAGAATGCCCAGCACATAGTATGTACTAAAGAACTGCTTGCTCTTTTTTTTTTTTGAGACAGAGTTTCATTTTGTCACCTTTAGTAGAATGCTGTAGTGTCATAGCTCATAGTAACCTCGACCTTAGCAAGTGATTCTCTTGCCTCAGCTTCCTCAGTAGCTGGGAATACAGGCGCCCGCTATAACACCCAGCTGTTTTTTCGAGATGAGGTCTCTCTCTGGCTCAGGCTGGGCTCGAGCCTGTGAGCTCAGGCATTCCATCTACTTTGGCCTCTCAAGTGTGAGAATTATAGATGTGAGCCACCATGCCTGGCCTAGAAGTGCTGGCTCTTATTATTACTAATTTAGTATGCCCTTAGGAAATATAAGTTAGCTGTTTTTTAATCTATTTTTTTTTTTTTTTTTGAGACAGAGCCTCAAGCTGTCCCCCTGGGTAGAGTGCCGTGGCATTACAGCTCACAGCAACCTCCAACTCCTGGGCTCAAGCGAGTCTCTTGCCTCCGCCTCCCAAGTAGCTGGGACCACAGGCGCCCGCCACAACGCCCGGCTATTTTTTGGTTGCAGCCGTCATTGTTGTTTGGCGGGTCCGGGCTGGGGATTCGAACCCGCCACCTTAGGTGTACGTGGCTGGTGCCTTAGCCGGTTGAGCTATAGGCGCCGAGCCTTTTAATCTATATTTTATGTGGACAAAATAAATACTTGTGTATGCCTTTATGAACTTGTATCCTCTCTGCCCCAGAGAAGGCACATTTTTTTTTTTTTTTTGCAGTTTTTGGCTGGGGTTGGGTTTGAACTCGCCACCTCTGGCGCCCTACTCCTTTGAGCCACAGGTACTGCCCTGAAGGCAGAATTTTTTAATTTATTGTCAGTTATAAAATATTACAAAAATGAAACTGAAATTCTTTATTTTTCAAAGTAGATCTACTAATCTAACCCAAGGGAGAACTGACCTAAGCAATGAACAGTGCACACAGGTAAGTTTTTATAGTCAGATAAGCTTATGAGTAATGGAAGAATTACTTCTTGTCATTTGTCAGTTCACCTGAAAGACTAATTCTTTTTTTATTCTTTCAAAATCCATGTTGAAATCCTAAGAGTATTTTTTTTTTTTTTTTGAGATAGTCTCATTTTGCTGCCCTCAGTAGAGTGCTATGGCGTCTTAGCTCACAGCAACCTCAAACTCTTGGGCTCAAGCTATTTTTTTGCCTCAGCCTCCCAAGTACCTGGGACTACAGGCACCTGCCACAAGGCCCGGCTGTTTTTCAGAGATGGGGTCTTATTCTTGCTCAGTCTGGTCTCGAACCTTTGAGCTCAGGCAATCCAGCTTCCTGGGGCTCCCAGAGGGCTAGGATTACAGGCATGAGGTACCCTGCTGAGCCCCGAAAGCTCATAGCAACCTCCAACTCCTGGATGTAAGTGACTCTCTTGCCTCACCCTCCCAAGTAGCTAGGACTACAGGCACCTGCCACAAGGCCTGGCTATTTTTCGGTTGTAGTTGTTGTCATTGCTGTTTGGGAGGCCCAGGATGGATTCGAACCCCGCCAACTCTGGTGTATGTGGCTGGCGCCTGTAGCACAGTGGTTAATGGTATCACCATATACACCCAGGCTTGGGGGCTCAAACCGATCTAAAACAACAGTGACAACTACAACAAAAAAAAGCTGGGCATTGTGTCAGACACATATAGTCCCAGCTACTTAGGATGCTGAGGCACGAGAATCACTTGAGTCCAAGAGTTTGAGGTTGCTGTGAGCTGTAATGCTACGGCAGTTTACCGTGGGTGGGATAGTGAGACTCTATCCAAAAAAAAAAATTGCTGGGTGTGGTGGCTCATGCCTATAATCCCAGCAGCTTCCAGAGGCTGAGGCAGCAGGAGGCCCAAGCTGGAGTCTGAGGTTTCAGTGAGCCACCAAGCCACTGTATTCAGCTCAGGGATGTAGGGTGGGACTCTGTCAGAATAACAACAAAGGCTCGGCACCTGTGGCTCAAGAGGCTAAGGCGCCAGCCACATACATCTAAGGTGGCAAGTTCAAATCCAGCCTGGGCCCGCCAAACAACAATGACGGCTGCAACCAAAAAAATAGCCGTGCGTTGTGGGGGACGCCTGTGGTCCCAGCTACTTGGGAGGCTGAGGCAGGAGACTCGCTTGAGCCCAGGAGTTAGAAATTGCTGTGAGCTGCAATGCCATGGCACTCTACCCAGGGGGGCGGCTTGAGGCTCTGTCTCAAAAAAAAAAAAATGACAACAACAAAAACATTTTTTGTTCCCTCAGGAGGGAAAAGCTAAGTAAATAAAAACAAAAACTCATGCCTGAACTCATAGCTTTTTTCCTTAAGAGACAAAGTCTTACTTCAGCAACCTCCAGCTCCTGGCCTTAGGCAATTCTCTTGCCTCAGCCTCCTGAGTAGCTGGGACTGCAGGCACCCGCCAGAATGCCTGGCTATTTTTTTACTGCAGTTTGGCTGGGCCAGGTTTGAACCTGCTACCCTCAGTATGTGGGTCCTGTGCCCTACTCATTGAGCCACAGGCACTGCCCTGAACTCATAGCTTTTGTGGTTTATATTATTCTTACAACATTGAGAATCTGCTGGTCTGGGTTGCATGTATTTCTGTATCTGTCTAATTTCTCTTTTTGCCACCACTATAAAATATAAATTGTAAATTCTAAGCAAGAAAGATGAGCGGTTTTGTTGGAACATAGTAACAATAGTGTATAGTTGGAAATTGGACATAAAGGTAATTCAGAGAAAGAAAACAGAGGACCATGAATATCAAGCAAGGCATTTTGATTTCATTCTTTTTTTTTTTTTGTCGAGACACAGTTTCACTTTATCATTAAGGTGACCAGATTTTAACATTGGTAAAGTGGGACACCATTGACCAGGGATGGGGGTGGGGTGGTCTTAATTAAAAATTTGGTCATGGAGCAAAAAAAAGTTCATAGAACACAAAAATAGTATTATAATATATTTTTTAAAATTTCAACATAAGTACAATTAACAAATATACATTAAAAAATTATGTATAGTATTATTTTATTCTTTGGCATAGTTCTCATTTGAGTGAATTTTTTTAGTAGATTGCTGTCGTTGTTTAAAAGGTCATGAAATTTTTCACAAGAATTTGTTAAATTACATTTCACACATAAAGTGGCTTTCAAAGTCTCAACACTTAATTGTGATTTTTCTGATATCCACACTTGATTTACCATAGAAAAAACACGTTCACGCAGCATTAGTTCCTGGTAAGGACAGTGTATATCCGACAATTTTTAGTGCATTATTGTATGGAACATGGTTTGTTTCAAAATGATGAAATATTTCTAACCATTTGTTCTCTATTGTGATTTTTGCTGATGCCCAAGATTTAACCTTTTCCTTATCAATATATTTTTTAATAATGATACCTCGTAAGTCGTAGGTGTCACTTTCAAGGCTAGCGCTAGACTTTTTGCCACTACTATAAAATATAAATAATATGAGTACTGTCTGCTAAATTCATGAAATAAAAAAATAAATTACTTACCTGAATTATCTGAATAGCTGATTTGTTGACATCACTTGTTTAACAACACACTAGCACTAGCACGCAGTATGATGTGTATCCTCTGAGAGACAGTCACAAAATGTTTTCATTGTTGCCAATGCCAAAAAATGCCATTGTTCATTAAGTCCAAACAGTGGTGGTCGAATTCTAACAACTGATCAACAATGCAAACTTTGATATGCAGTTCTCGATAATCAGTTCTCAACAATTATCTCAACTTTATTATTAAAGTTTAACATTATAAAATTAACAAAAATAATATAAAACTCATATCCTGGCGAAATAGCCACATGGCAGCCAAAACGGTATATTCCCTTCCCGGTCTCCCACCATTCCCTAGCTTGTCATGCATTCTTTCCAAAAATCGGGATTTTTTTAAAACGCCACAGGACGTGGGACAAATTGTTAAAATCAGGACTGTCCTGCCAAAAGCGGAATGTCTGGTCACCTTATTTATCATCCTCGGTAGAGTGCTGTGGCATCACACAGCTCACAGGAACCTCCAACTCCTGGGCTTAGGTGATTCCCTTGCCTCAGCCTCCCGAGTATCTGGGAATACAGATGCCCACCACAATGCCTGGCTATTTTTTTGTTGCAATTTGGCTGGGGCCAGGTTTGAACCTATCACCCTTGGTATGTGGGGCCGGCACCCCACTACTGAGCCATAGGCACCGCCCTTGATTTCATTCTTTAGGCAAAGGTTTCTTAGCATGGAAATGGCATAATCAAAGCTTTGCTTTAGAAAAATTAATTTGAAGGCCAAGCACAGTGACTCACACCTGTAATCTTACTACTCTGGGAGGCCAAAGTGGGTGGATTGCCTGAGCTTACAGGTTCAAGACCAGCCTGAGCCAGATCAAAACCTCGTCTCTAAAAATAGCCAGGTATGGCTCGGTGCCTGTGGCTCAGGTGGCTAAGGCGCCAGCCACATACACGTAAGGTGGCGGGTTTGAATCCAGCCCAGGCCACCAAACAACAATGATGGTTGCAACCCAAAAAAAAAAAAAAATGGCAAGGTGTTGTGGCAGGTGCCTGTGGTCCCAGCTACTTGAGAGGCAGAGGCAGGAGACTCACTCAGGAGAACTCTACCCAGGGGGGACAGCTTGAGGCTCTGTCTCCAAAAAAAAAAAAAAAAAAAAATAGCCAGGCATTGTGGTGGGCACCTGTAGCCCCAGCTATTAGGAAGGGTGAGTTAAGAAAACCACTTGAGCCCAAGAGTTTGAGGTTGCTGTGAGCTATGATGCTACAGCACTCTACTGAGGGCAAGAAAATGAGACTCTGTCTCAAAGAAAAAAAAAAGGAAAATTAATTTGGTTGCACATATCTGATGGATTGGAAAAGGGATAAGACTGGAAGAAGAGAGACTGGTCAGTAGGTGCAAGAAAACCTCAGTTGAGAGGTAGCATTTTACTAGGAAGGTTAGTTTAGGAAGGGTTGGCAGCCCTAAGATGTAACCATTCTTTCTCTTTGTCTGCTCAAGGTGACCACCTTGCTGCAGTTAGTTCATTCCTGTAGTCAGCAGTCTCCTCAGGCCTCTGCACTTTATTATGATGAGTTTGCCAATCTGATCCAAGGAAGAAAGCTGGCTCTAAAAGCCCTGGTAAGGCCTATTTTCTTTGTTAAAGTGATAAATCATGAAAGCAACTTTACTACATACTCTTCAAGTCCTTGACTTTGTCGAGATAACCTCTATGAGCTCTCCCAAGTTTTAGTTCTGCTCATCTCACCTTAGGACTCTCCTCCAAGGCCTCCTCCTTTAGGTAATAGCAATAATAATGATAATGAGGATGAGGGTGGTGCTGGAGGTGATGTTGATAGCTATAGTCTTTTTTTTTCTTTTTCTTTCTTTTTTTTTTTTTTTTTTTTTAGAGACAGGATCTCACTTTGTTTCCCTCAGTACAGTGCCATGTACTGTACTGTACACAGCTCACAGCAACCTCAAACTCTTGGGCTTAAGCGATTCTCTTGCCTTAGCCTCCTGAGTAGCTGGGACTATAGGCACCTGCCACAATGCCTGGCTGTTTTTTGGTTGCAGTTGTCATTTTTGTTCAGCAGGCCCAGGCCGGGCTCGAACCCGCCACCTTTGGTGTATGTGGCTGGCGCTCTACTCACTGAGCTATGGGCACCAAGCCAACAGCCCCAGTCTTACCTGAGAGCCCTATCTTATGCCAGGCTTTGCGCTAAGCACTTTTCATGCATTATCAATTTTTTACTTCACAATAATGAAGTATGTACTATTGTTACTTACTTTTTAGAAATGAAGGAACTAGCTTAGCACCTGTAGCATAGTGGTTACTGCACCAGCCACATATACCAAAGCTGGTGGGTTCGAACTCGGCCCAGGCCAGCTAACCAACAATGACAAGTGCAACAAAAAAAATAGTCGAGTGTTGTGGCAGGTGCCTGTAGTCCCAACTACTTGGGAGGCTGAGGCAAAAGAATTGCTTGAGTTTGAGATTGGTGTAAACTGTGACACCACGGCACTGTACTGAGGGCAACATAGTGAGACTGTCTCAAAAGAAAAGAAAAAAAAACAAAAAGAAATGAAGGAACTGGTCTAGTCCACTGGCTCACAGACTATGAGGCAGAGGCAGCTGGATTGCTTGAGCTCAGCAGTTTGAGACCAGCCTAAGCATGTCTCCCTCTCTACAAAAAATAGAAAAATTAACCATGCATGACACTGTATCCCTGTAGCCCCAGCTACTTGTGAGGTTGAGGGAGGAGGATCACTTGAGCCCAGGAATTTGAGGTTGCAGTGAGCTATGATGAACCACTGCACTCTAAGCGGGGGGACAGAGGGAGGCTCTGTCTCAAAAGAAAAGAAAAAGAAACGAGGGAACTGAAGCTTAGAAAGGTTTAACCTTGATTTAGCTAGGAATCTATGAAAAGTATATCCTGGACTCTACCTTTTGTTTGTTTCTTCCTGAAGGAATCAGTTGGGCAGACTATTTTTAATGATTTCCAAGATTCATTTGTGGTAGACTTCTGTGTTGTTCCAGAAGGGTAAGTATTATTTACCTGTTGGCTTGGTTGTACTGGTGGAGTAGTTACGTCAATGCTGTTAGTAGCTGAAACAAACTTCACAATACCCTTGACCTCAGCCAATTCTACCCACTCCCACATGTTTTGTTCTCCCAACCCCAGCACCCACGTACTCGCAGCTTCAGAATTATTAAAAAGCTTCCTTATTTTTTGTCTTGTTTCTAATTTTTCCCCTTGGTAGTTTCGTTTGAAATTGGTTTATTCTAGTGATTTCCCCCATCACCTCACTTATCCCTGAGCTGGGACATCAGATTCTGGGTTCTCTCCACAGCGACTTTCCATTTCCTGTGAAAGCTCTCTACGGACTAGAAGAATACAGTACTCCTGATGGGATCGCCGTCAACCTCTTGCCCCTGTTGTTCTGCCAGGAGTACGCAAAAGATGGGGGTCGAATGACTTCACAGGAATCAGGCCAGAAGTCAGTAGACCTTTCTTTCTTCTCACTAAAACCTCTGTTAGTGTTTTGAATGTTCAGAGGGAGTTCCACAATATTTTCAATCTGTGGGAACCTGAGTCAGAAAAGTTTTTCCCAAAAAGGTATTTAGAGGGGTTAGAGATAATGAGACAGGAGTCTGTGTTTTTTCTTAGATTCTGGGGTTGAGATTTATACTGCTTGGTGACAGCCTGCAGATACCCTTGAGACTATTTTCTGTTCTTTATCCCTTGCTTTCCCTCCTGTGGACATCCTTGGCTACCTCTACTTCTCTCACCCTCTCCTTCCCTTTTACTTTTTCCTGCTCCTATCACATAGATAGGCACTTCATTATGCCTCCTGCCTTCCTGCAATTCAATTCATTGTGTATTTACTGAGTATTCATTAAATTCCTTGCCATTTGTTCTTGAAAGTAGATAGTCACTTTGGGCGGCACCTGTGCCTCAGTGGGTAGGGCACCAGGCCCATATACCAAGGGTGGCGGGTTCAAACCCAGCCCCGGCCAAACTGCAACAAAAAAATAGCCAGGCATTGTGGTGATCACCTGTAGTCCCAGCTACTCGGGAGGCTGAGGCAAGAGAATTGCCTAAGCCCAGGAGTTGGAGGTTGCTGTGAGCTATGATGCTATGGCACTCTACCGAGGGCAATAAAGTGAGACTCTGTCTCTACAAAAAAAAAAAAAAAAGAAAGAAAGAAAAGTAGATATTCACTTTGGACAAAATTCTTTCACTGTAGCATTGGATTCACTATAACTATGGTATAATGTGTCTGTAAGGTGTGGCCTACACATGTATTTTTCCTTTCCAGATTAGTGTCTCCTTTGTGCCTGACTCCCCATTTCCGGTTGCTGAGACTTTGTGTGGAGAGACAGCATAATGGAAACTTGGAGGAGATTGATGGCCTATTAGGTACAGGATGAAGTTTTCAGATCCCTTCTTCTTTGTCACCTTGCTTTGATAAGCTTAGGGAAGGGGCAGACCAGTATATAGTATATGTGGGACAATTTTCTAACTTTAGCAGAATAGTATAGCTTTGGAATAGTGGAATTATAAAGACAAGATAGTACATACAGAATCCCACTATGTTAAAATATTTTTATACTTCTGTATTGCTTCCTGGCTTTTCTATAATTGTTGCAAATTTCTAATTATATATGTTGATTGTTATGTAATATGGACTCTTAACCCTCAAATGTGAGTTCCAGGGGTAAGTAAGTAACAAGGAGAGCTAGCTCTAGGGGCAGCATCCCAGTTCTTTTGGTTTGGATGAAAAGTTGGAAATGTTTTATTTTCTCAGACTGTCCTGTATTTCTCACTGACCTGGAGCCTGGAGAGAGGCTGAAGTCCATGTCTGCCAAAGAGCGTGAATTCATGTGTTCACTCATATTTCTTACTCTCAACTGGTTTCGAGAGGTGAGCAGAGTTACTAGAATTTTTTATCTATTGTCCATAGTTTCTCTTAGAAGAAAACTATTTTCTTGGTTCCCCCAGGACTCTTAGCATGTTTCTACCAAGACTAATACCCATGTGCTTCTTTAGGTGTCACGTCCCACCACTCCCCAGGCAAGTATATGTAGCCAAATTGGAATACTTAGAATTCACTTTATGTTGCCCATGCTTTACTTCCTCCAAGCTTTCTTGTCGTATTTTTCTGACTGGAATAAACTTTTCACCTCCCTGTGGAAATACTGCTCATGCTAGCACAAGCATACACTTGCTGTTTTGATACAGTGAGAGGAGTAAGTGGTGGTTTCCCTTCCTTTAGAATATGCAGTATTTTTGCTTAATAGTAATAACATCGGCTTGGCGCCTGTGGCTCAAGCGGCTAAGGCGCCAGCCACATACACCTAAGGTGGCGGATTCGAATCCCCAGCCTGGGCCTGCCAAACAACAATGATGGCTGCAACCAAAAAATGGCCAGGCGCTGTGGCGGGCGCCTGTGCTCCCAGCTACTTGAGAAGCTGAGGCAGGAGACTCGCTTGAGCCCAGGAGTTGGAGGTTGCTGTGAGCGTGATGCCATGGCACTCTACCCAGGGGGATAGCTTGAGGTTCTGTCTCAAAAAAAAAAAAAAAAATAGTAATAACATCAATGATGCCAACATCTTGCATCTCTTCCTTACTGCCTTCCTCTCAAATATTGTTTCAGAGAACATTTGTGCACTTGAATGAGTTTATTCATTCCTCACAGTAGGATAGGTATTTTCCTTGTTTTTCTGTTTGTTTTTTTATTGAAACAGAATCTCACTTTGTTGCCCTCTATAGAGTGCCATGGCGTCATAGATCACAGCAACCTCGAACTCTTGGGCTCACACAATTCTCTTGCCTCAGCCTCCCTAGTACCTGGGACTATAGGTTCCCGCCACAATACCTGCCTATTTTTGTGTGTTGTTATTGTTGTTTAGAAGGCCTGGGCTGGGTTCAAACCCACCAGCCCCAGTGCATGTGACCAGCACCCCCACCACTGAGCTACAGGTGCCCCCTTCCTTGTTTTATATATACAGAATTTTAAGTACAGAGATTTCAAAGTCATAAAAATGTATTAACCACTTTCACTGTACTAGGTGTAATAAGAATATGGCCCACTGTGCTAGAATAATTTTTAAATTTATACTCTTTTTTTTGCGACAGAGTCTCATTCTGTGCCCTACGTAGATAGTGCTGTGTGTCATGGCTCACAGTGACTTCAAACTTTTGGGCTCAAGCATTCCTCTTAACCTCAGCTTCCCAAGTAGCTGGGACTACAGGCACCTGCCACAATGCTTGGCTATTTTTTCTATTTTTAGTAGAGGAAGGGTCTCACTCTTGTTCAGGCTCATCTAGAACTCCTGAGCTCAAACAGTCCAACCACCTTGGCCTCCCTGAGTGCTAGGATTACAGGCATTAGCCACCACACCCAGCCTAATTTATACTCTTAAATTGATTCAGTTGCATTTTCATTTTGTAGTTGAAAATCTCAGAAAAGTAAAAGACATGGCTAATGTCACACTGGTAAAATAGCAGAATAAGATTTGTTTTAACAAAGTATATGTGCACTCTAGCTAGTCCACCTTGTGAAATAACTAGTAATAAGTAGAACTAGGATTAAAAGACAAATCTCCTGTATTTTGGCCCAGGTATTTTTGTTTTCTCTACACCAGCTTACTGAGAACACTTTTATGTATTACAGACTGAACTCACAGATCCTGTTGCCTACTGGCGTCTTTCAGCACTGTATGAATAATGTGAAAAAGATTAAAATCCGAACATTTGAAAGTATGAGAACATAATTTGTACTTTACAGGTTGTGAATGCCTTCTGCCAGCAAATATCACCTGAGATGAAGGGGAAGGTGTTCACCCGGTTGAAGCACATTGTAGAACTGCAGAAAATTCTGGAAAAATATTTGGCAGGTAGGTATCCTATATTGGTAACCCTACTAGGTCAGTGGTGAGGAGATAGAGAACTTAGCTTTTAAGGCAGGCTCAAGGATAGCAGTCCCCTACTCCTCTCTGTCAAGGAAAATGAACGTTGAAAAAAAATTTTAATGAGTATGTTCATTTTGGTTCTATTATTGTCTCTAAGAGCTCTTGCTGCTTAAGAAAATAAAAATTATGGAGCCTCCTTCACGCTATCTACAATAATCGCTTGTAAAACAAATTGCTGTATGACGAAATATTGTTAATATCTTCAGATTTTAAATATAAGTTTATTTTTAGTCCTTATCTGCTTGGTTATTTTATATTATTATTTAGAATAGTTTTATATTAATTGAGCATAATCAATGTGATATTCCTATAAATTATCTCTGGCCATTTTGCTATGCCAAAACAATGTTAGATGACTTAGCTGTGTCTTACAAACATTTTGCTACTCTGAGAATTTCGGAAACTAATTTTTAGCCACGTTAGTGATTGCTGTTCGAGTCTAATGGTGGTATATGGTTGGTACACATCGAGCTTCTACCTGTTCTATTTCAGTCACCTCAGACTACGTTCCTCCTCCTGCAAACTTTGACTTAGAAACTTTAGACTTAACACCTCATACCAGTACTGCCAGTTTAGCAAAAATCAGAAAAAAAGGAAATACAGGTGAGTATATTTTTTTCTTCTTATCTGTCTCATTACTTAAGAAGTTCAGTGTATTAAGGCCTAAGTCATTAGAGAGCTTATGAGCCCCTTCTTAAGCAGGGTCATAAATGTGCTATAATTTAGGAAATTTTAGAAATTATCGTTCTACCTAATAGAACGATATAGTCTTCAATAGGTTGTTTCCTGAGGGCAATATTTGACAAACGTGATTATTAATTACCTGGGTCAATTTTCTCCTTTTGAAATATAAGGAGGAAGGAAGCGTAAAGCAGATGACAGCAAAACATTATCCCCTGACACACTTTCAAAAGAAGATAATTCAGAATGTGACCCTACACCATCTGACAGAAGCCAGCTGAGCAAGGTATTGAAAAATGACAGATGCTCATAAAGGTTAGAGCCCAGTGAGATTAATAGAGGGCCAGTTCTATTCTCTGCATTTTATAAAGAGAAAAATTAGGGGATGGAGAAGCAGATGAACTCTACTAGGCCTTGGAGTAACACTTTAATAGCAAGATTTGGATTGACTCTAAGTCCTTATATCTGTCACATACTGGAAATTATTTTTTCTAATTATTTTATTTATTTGTTTGTTTGTTTGTTTGTTTTTTTGAGACGGAGCCTCAAGCTATCCCCCTGGGTAGAGTGCCATGGCATCAAGCTCACAGCAACCTCCAACTCCTGGGCTCAAGCGAGTCTC